GGAAATAAGAGTATTATGATTTACTTTGTTAACGTGTTAAAATTAATGCAGAGAGAGTATTTTATACTTTCTATTACTTTCTCATGACTTTTCAAACGAGTCTTATATTTAGGGTATATAATCTAATTTCCTCAATTATTGGAGCATTTTCAAGAGACAACATAAAATATTAATGGAAAAAATGACGGGAATTTCGTTAGTGATCGTCTGAGTAGAATCTATCCTAACATGTCAAAAAAATTAGGAAAAATGACATAACTACAAAGGTTTCGAAATATATTTTCAGCAATAACAAACTTATGATTTTTTTTTCAAAAATCAAGCGATCAAATTTTATGATCCCTAATAAATTTTGTTGACATATAATTTAATTAATCAGGTGACGGCCATAATAACATAAATTTTTTTGTCACAATCACATATTAATGACAAATCACACAATGTCACAATCACAAAAACACAATCGTGGGTCACAATTACATATTTAGTCGCAAATCACATATTTTATTTGGTAATATATTATTTATGTAACGACCCGACTTCGCGTCAGAGCCGTTATCATATCGTATGTACTATCCGCTTTGGGATGACCTAGGCCCATCTTACCCCTCACGGCTTTCTGACGCGTCCCTCATGTCTCCCATATGATGTAGGTCTTGGGTAGAATCTTGGAAGACTCGTTAGAAAGCCGTGAGGGGTAAGATGGGTCTAGACCCTCCCAAAGCGGACAGTACGTACGATATACTAACGGTTTAGGCGCGAGGTCGGGTCGTTATAAAAATGCGCATTTTTTATAACGATCTGACCTCGCGTCGGAGGTGTTATCATATTGTACGTAATGTCCGCTTTGAGAGGGCCTATGCCCATATTACCTCTCACGGATGGGCATAGGCCCTCTCGAAGCGGACAATACGTACGATATGATAACGGCTTCGACGTGAGGTCGAGTCCTTACAATTTATTAGTTATAAATTTACCCAATTAATTGATCACAATCACTCTTCACCACATCCTACCCTACCCCGACTCCACTACCACTGACACTACCCATCGCCGTCACCACCTTAAATCCATAATCCCCGACCACCACCTCCACCTCAAAATCCCCCTCCCACACCACCTCTACATTCATATCATTGTCACCACCACCACCACCATCGAGGAGTGTCAACGAATCGAGTTGAAACTCGAAGCTCTAGCTCGGCTCGAGTAAAAATGGTTCGGGTTTTTTTTGTTCGAGCCGAGCTAAGCATTTGTTCTGCCAAAAAATTTAGGCTCGATCCGAGCTTTCGGCTTAGGCCTTTACAAGCTGAAACGAGCAAAGTCGAGCCGATCCGGCTCGATTTTTTTAAAAAATATTCATGGCAGTATGTGTCTTGCAGGCAGTTGTCACAAAGCTTCCTACAAACGCAGCTACCCGTATTACAGCTCCATGTGTTTGCAGGCAGCTGAAGCTGCCTACGTGTAATTATTTATTTATTTTTTAACCTTTTTTTAAACTTGGCTCGACTCGGCTCATCACGAGCCGAAAATGACCCGTGGCCACACGGGCTGGCTCGTGTTCGAGCTGACCTCCCAAATGAGGCTTAGCCCGAGCCATGAGCCGATCCGGCTCAGGCTTTTCTCGGGCCGAGTTGACGAACAATATTGACATCTCTACCACCACCTTTACCTTCAAAGATTTTTGGCCCCCTATGATGTTTTGGGGCCAATTGGAGGTGGGAATTGTGTTTGGGAGGTGATTCCGCTGGCAATTGGTGGTGGGCAGTGACGGTCGGAGGTGTTCGTGGGGGATGAAATTGGGGATTAGGGTTAGGGGTGAAAATGAGGATGGTAGTAAATATGGAATGAGGCGGGGTGAGTTGGCACCTAATATTTGAAATAGAATTCATTTTACCAGATTATTGAAATGAGAGCTTACAGAATTGAACTTTGTGTAAATTTTTTTGAAAAAATTAAGCGAGTTTGGCCCAAAATAATAAATCTCAATCCTTTTTTCCATTCCTAGCCCTAACCCTAAATAAACAAGTGGAAATTTCATCTATATTATTATTTTGGGTTATTCCACTTGTACAGGGGACTTTCCCCTCTACA